TATAACACTGGAATTACTGTCTTCCTTTAACCTTCTTTGAACCCCTGCAGAGTATTCACTCCAGACTGAAGTCTTCCAGTTGTCGTGCCCAGTCTCACAGGGCAGTAGCTGGGTTCCCTTATAACAGGATCCACAGGATCCCAGTGTTGTTGTTCCATCTGGTTTTCTTCTTTCAAATTCACGCTATTAATAAGCTGCCGGGTCAGCTTTCCTCCAGATTCCTTAACGATGTGCTCAATCTGCTCCTGTTCTCTTTCTAAATTATTGCTCTTAACTTTATCTTCGAGTATACCTTTGTCTTTCTTTTTGTTTTCCTTGTTGGGACTCAAAGGCTTGTGTTTCTGTCTCGCCCAAGTCCTTCCTTTCTGGCAGCCAGCAGCTGCTGTCCTCTCTTCTCTGCCAGGTGTCTCCTTGGTCTTTCTACTTTTTTTTTTTTTTTTTTTATCCTCACCCGAGGACATTCTTCCATTTTTTGTTCAGATAGAGCGGGAGGGAGAGAGAGGAAGAGAGAGAGAGAGAAACATCGACGTGAAGGAACACATCGAGTGGCTGCCACCCGCACGACCAACCAGGGCCGGGGACAAACTGCAACCGAGGTACACGCCCTTAGCGGGAACCGAACCCGGGTCTCTCTGTACCGCAGGCCGACGCTCCAACCGCTGAGCCAAACTGGCCAGGGCGGTCTTTCTACTTTTGACTCTTGCAAGTCTTTTATGCTTTTTGACTTTCTGGCCATGAAGTCTATGCTCTAGCTCAGGCTCTAAATTCTCTCCTGCTAAGAATTTTCGTTGCTGAATGCAATAGCTTCTTTGCAGCTTTATAAGAAATGGTCTCTGTTTTGTTGTAAATCATGGCATTAGTACATGTACGTTTGAAGTTACCCTTCAGTTCTTCTGTGGACTGGCAGTCATTGTTCTTGATCTTTTCTTTCATGGTACTAAAATCTATTGGGTATTTGGTGATCATGGACTAGCTGGGAGCAATAAAATCAGTCACAGTAAATGAAAAGAAAGCACGTAAGTTTTCTCTGCAACTGTCTCATCAGCTAAGCTTGAAGAGGGGTCTGTTCTACTTCTTGTTTGGTTGAAGAGCTCCTGAGAGGCTCCTCAGGAGGCAAGTCAAATCTTGCAGGGGCCTGGCACTGGAGGCCTTGCTCTGCTTCCTTCTCCACACGGTCCCGATCTCGCTTCTTTTTATCCTCCTTCATGCATCTGTGTTTTCTCTCTGTACTTCCCCTTGAACCTGCTTCTCACCTTTCTCTTTTTCTGCCTACTGTCCTTGTGTTTGTCATGATCATTCTTGTCTTCAAAGAGGTTTGAGTCATGCCCCGAGCTGCAGGTAGAGAGCTCAGTGCCTTTCTTCCCTCCGACTCTGAGGACCAGCTTCAAGGGCTTCTCTACATATTTCTTGCAGAGGTAAGTGTTGTACGACCTGTGCTTCTTGTGCTTCTTCACCCTGTCCAACCAGAACCCGGTGCCTGCACCTCGTGCCAGGCCCAGGCAGTGCAGCGCTGCTTCCTGTCAGGGCCAGAAGATAGTGTAAAAATGAAAATTTGCGAGAAGCTCACATCTCCATTTTAAACTTTAAGGCTTAAAGTTTTGTTTTTTTTTTTGGTATGTGCCCCTAGCAGGAACCAAACCCGGGACTTTATGGTCTGCAGGCCAATGCTCCAACCACTGAACCAAACCGGCCAGGGCTTAAGGTAGTTTCTGTTTGAGTATTTAATAAGCATTTGTCTTTGGAAAATGTATCCAGCAAAGTCCTAATGAAAAATATGAAGCTTTGGCTAAAAATTTTGCTTTATTTGATTTGCACTTGAGCAATGCTTCTCAAACTTACTGTTCAATGAACACTTTACATATCTCATAACAATGTAGATTCAGATTTAGTAGGTATGGGTGAGGTAAGAGATGTAAAGAGATGCCAAAGTTGCTGATTTGAGGACCATGCTTTGGGGGCAAGACCCCTGAGCCTCTGCCCTAATAATTTAGTCAGTGAGTATTGATTTTGGGAGAATGAGCATTGTTTTAAATATGATAAAACCTAGTGACTTTCAACAGAAATAAAGAATGGACATGTGCATGTATACACCTAAGCATACTTTTTCAGGGGAATCATGCATTTATTCAATGAATACCTATTTATGAGTACTAAGTATTTTTTCTAAGTGCTGATTATATAGTGATGGACAAGATAGGCAAGATCTCCACCTTGTGGAGCTTTGATTGTAGTGTTGAAGGACAAAACACCAAGTAAATAAACAAGGCATGTCACATGTGATAAATGCGATAAGACAGCATCCCATGGTCAATGATGGAGAGACTGGGTAGGAGGAGTGCAGGAAGTGGTCTGGTAAACTGGTCTGTCTGTGGAGACATCTTGGTCAGAGACCTGAATGCCACTGTCTGGAGGGAAATCATCCCAGGCAGTAAGCTCAGAGGATCTGAAGGGGAACTGAGGTCAGCATTTTCAAAAGACAGAACGGCTGGTATGGCAGGCACAGAGCAAGTGAGGGAGACAGTGACAGGAGATGACCTCAGAGGGGCAGACAGGCCAGATCACTCAGAGCCTTATAGGTTATGAAAAGAAGGCTGCTTCCACCCTGCCCATTTGCCTACACCTATTTTTAGGCCCTAAGGGAGGCACAGTTTCCATTTCAAGAACTCCAGACAGAGATGCTAATTTAGGAACACTGGGGGGGGGGGGGGGGATGTCTTACAAGGCTTAAGGACTCAGAGAACACATCTGAAATCCAGAGGGAGGAGGGAAGCAAACTCAGGACAGAGTTGTTTTCTGGACCCCAGGTTGGCAGCGTCTTGAGCATAGCTGCCAGGCACAACTGTTTGCTGAACTACTGCAAGTTGAAGTTGCTATTTGCAAGCAAAATTTTACAAAGCGGCCTCCAGTTGTCATCCTGTCTCTGCCCACTACAGAGTGCTAGGACGTCCCAGGCCTGCCCAGGATGCACTTAGAAGGCTTGATGTGTCATTCCTTTACTTTTTCACCTTCAAATGCCCAATAATGGCTTTGTGTTCGCTGAGTTGTGAGAGTTTGGATGTGGCTTTATTCCACATTTCACTCTTCTTTGGGGAGTCTGCATACAGTGTGACAATCTGACTTTGTGCAGTCTTCGTTTCTTAAAGTGCCCCTTAAATGGCAATTGTCTTTGAGACAATACTGGTCTGTAAAACACCTGCCCCATCAGGATTAAGAAGATTTAATACTTTACTTTTTCTAGAGATCCTCTTAGATCCCTAGGCTACAGGAAGAAAAATGCATTGGCATTCTGATTTCTAATTCATTCTTTTCTTGAAGTGATTCTGAAAATAAAGAATTTAAAAATTCCAATTTTAATTTGCCAGCAAATGAATGGAAACAGCACTGAATCAATCCTGCTGGGCAACCTTTAGCTTGGGTGCTTAAGAAAGGTGGCTCTGGCCTTTGCTGGCCTCAGTTTCCTCATCTATAATGAAGACATTGAATAAAATGAGCTTCTAAACCAGGGACAGCTTTATAAAAGATCCTCCCCTGAAAATAACACCCTTCCTGCCTAAGAAAAAACAAGAAAAATGTATTACAAACACACACAACAATTAATCAATTTTTAAAAGTATACCGTATGTATATTTTGCTTTACCAGTTTCTCCCTTGGAAAATTATTTTGTAAAAAAGTATTTTGTACTTGAATGCTTGGTCCTCATTTTGTGAGGACTGCATTTGGGGGGTGGGAGGGAGAGACACTGCTCTGAAACCTCATTGTACACCAAGTGGACAGGGCATCCTGACAGGGACCTCTATTCCAGAAACAATAGGGCCGGGTACTTTAGAAAAGAAATGCCAGTCCCAATAACTCTATACAAAGTAGCAACTGATTGTATGTCTTTCCTAATAGAAATTAAATCTGTGGAGCTAGGGCCTTTTTCATTCACTACATCTCTAGTGCCTACAATAGTGCCTGGCACATAGTAGATGCTCAGTAAATGTTTGTTGAGCAGATGGAGCCAGGTATTAGTGCTTCACCTTTGGTGGCTTCTAGCAGTTCTACACTTTCCAAAGGAAAGATACCTGGGGGAAGGAAAAGGGTGGGGGTGGTAACGCAAACCTCTAGTTTTGCTCACTTCTTTAGGATCTATGATCCTTGAACATTTTTTTTATCCTCACCTGAGTATAGTTTTCCATTTATCTTCAGATAGAGTGGGAGGGAGGAAGAGAGAGAAACATCGATGTGAGAGAGACACACCAACTGGCTGTCCCTTGTGTTATCCCGACCAGGGCCAGGGACCAACCGCAACCAAAGTACGTACCCTTGACTGAAATCAAACCCAAAACTCATTGGTCTATGGGCCGACACTAACTGCTGAGCCAAACCAGCCAGGGAAGTCCTTGAGCATTTTGAGACTAAATTTTAAAGTCTCAGATAAAGTAGGTGGAGAAAAGTTTGTTTCATTTTTCCCATCCCATGTATCCCTAATGGGGATTAGTAGGGTCTGAAGGTGACTTGTGTGTTACAATCCATGTCTGCTCCAAGACAGATGTGATTTCTAAGAATTCTCTCCTGGATGGCTTGTAAACTTAAGTATCCTTTATTTATCTATTATATAAATCCTGATATTTAATCGGGTTTGTTTCCATCAAAATCATTTGTACTAAAGATATAGATTTCACATTTTCAATAGATTCTTCCAGTTAGCACATTTTTGCCCATAAATTGAAAGAATTGAACTTAATTTAAAAAAATACTTACAATTCTCATAGTTCTTTCAACAATGCACTGTTGATACAGTAAACCACAGCTAAAGTGGCTTCAACAATGATGGACCATTTGGAAATCATTTGTGTATAAAAAAGACAGAATTCGAGTCTCTATGGAAAATCATATGCCAAATAGCCCCTGGAGCCCAGTTGCTGTTATGAAAGCAGAGGCACCTTCCCATTGGCCAGGAGAACTTACCCAGATGTCTGGCTTCCACATAAAAGACAGGAACCACTGAAGCCAGTTTCCACTTCCACTCAAAGGGTGATAACATAAACAGCAAAAAAGAAGATGGCAAGACTATTGTTACTTTTCCTTCCAGGTCTTATGGCTGTAGGCACCGTGCACGGAATATTTATGGACAAACTTGCTTCCAAGAAGCTCTGTGCAGATGACGAGTGTGTCTGTAAGGACTTTTTAAATGTCTCTTACTACATTTTTATTAAATGATTGAAAAACTATCCACTAACAATGTAAAATCTGGTTGTTCGTTGAAGCGAATCTTCTCTAATGTGTATGTGATTGGCATTGCTTCTCCTGATCTGTACCTAGTGTTACCATAGACAATTCACTTGGGTAAGATTCTGCAGGATGCAGTGTTAATGCTTTGGATTTCTTACTCTGTTTGAACTGATCAGGAGCTGTGAATGGGGAGGTATTAGTCATTCTGATTTCCTAGTTTTCTGAACTGCTCTGCCTTTTTACTGTTTCAAAAACCAAGAGCCTAAAAGGTAGTCATTCACTGCTTTTTTTTTCTTCCTTTCAGATACTATTTCTCTGGCTAGAGCTCAAGAAGATTATAATGCCCCAGACTGTAGATTCATTAACGTTAAAAAGGGGCAGCAGATCTACGTTTACTCAAAGCTGGTAAAAGAAAATGAAGCTGGAGAATTTTGGGCTGGCAGTGTAAGCTGAGATTATTGAAAACATACACAAATCGGGACATATGTTTTTTCTAATGTTTTCTCTATTACCTATCTTCAATGCATTTCAGTGTTTAAAATGAGCTGTAAAGAACAATGTAGAGACTGTAGATGCAAGTACAAATATTTGTGTATATTTGCTTTTACTGTATTTTGAAGAAATGATGAAACTTTTATAACAATACCAAATGTAGGTTTATGTGATGTTTTGGCAAGAAAAACTAGTCAAATACATGGGAATTTGAACATCCTAAAGAGTTTGAAACTTATTCAAACCCGTTTAAGTGGATTTTCCAAGTAAAGGCAGTCAGTCTATATTTCAATATTTTTAAGAAAACTTTAGCCTCCCTTTTTAATTCCAGAAAATCTGCTTTTTAAAGTTAAATATGTAGGATGGGCCTTGGGGCGGGGTGAAACAGGACTGATTTACTGTCCACCGGCAGTGCCACAGATAGATTCTCAGGTAATGAATTCAATCTTAAATTCACTTTAATATAAAAGTGCCAATTTACTTTTAAAATTTTACTGACTTTATTTATGGTTCCAAAAAGATTTCAGGCTGCTTACAAGATTGCATAAAATAAAGGAATGCTGAAGGTGAGACCAGTAAGACTGGGCCACAGAATAAACACATAACTTCTGTGGGTCGACTTAGTTGCTATAAGTGAGCTTCAAATTTAAGTGTGAGCCCCCAAAACCCAGACTGAAAAGTGAGACATTGGCAGTTGTTATTTTCATTAACAGCAAAGGGGATGCCTGAGGGTTTCTTGAGACTCACATCAGATTTCCCCTGACTGGTCTGCTTCTGGGCACAGGTGTATGGCGATCACCAGGAGGACGCGATGGGAACAGTGGGTTATTTCCCCAGAAACTTGGTCGAGGAGCAACATGTATACCAGGAAGCCATCAAGGAAGTCCCGACCACAGTAAGTGTCTCAGAGGTGGCGAGAGAAAGACTCAGATCTTGGGGTAATGTAGTCTAGTGTTTAAAATGCATCCTGTAACTTACAAGATATATGGAGCAAAGCCCCTAATTTCCAAAAATGGTGACTCTTGAGACAGTCAAGTTTGGGAGGCATTCATACCTATGATTAATGTTGAAAGAATATTGAACTTTCTTCACTGACCCCACTGTTGTCTCAGATGAGTTATTCATGTCACAAAGAAAGAAACCAAAATAGTGTCATCTGACCCTTAATGCTGGTTATAGACTTATTTGCTAAAGACTTGGGCTGGGGAAAAAATACCACCTGTATTTAATAAAATCAAAACATTCTAGAAAAATCTTTGAATGCCTTATTTTTGTGGTAAATAGACTTCACTTATTTTTGCAAAAAAATTACACTCTTTCCAATACCTTGGGGCCCTTTAACCCAAGGACAGAAATAAAAGATCCCCTTTGAGCTACTTTTAAGGTGGTTATTTTGAAGCTATTCTCCTGGAGCTAATTACTATGCTAAATAACTTCAAAACATTGCCCAACCTACACAAATGGGAATCACTTGTCATCACTTCTTAGCATTGAACTTGAATGTGTCAAATAACCATAAATTAACAGTGTATTTGAGAACCTTCCTTTTAAGGAATTTTACTTTAAGTAATAATTATGTCATAATCATTGGGGTTCAACCTTTACTTATTTTAAATCCAAATTAAACACTGATTCCATATGATTTTAAATAAAGAACCTATCTCTGTTTTCTGGCCCCAGTTGCTCAGTTCAATCTCTTTTTCCTTTTGTTTTTATTCCAGGATATTGACTTTTTCTGCGAGTAAGAAATTAGACAAATCTGCAGATAGAAAGAAAACACCAAAATTAAGAAAAAAAGTAAAACAAAACAAAAACAAACAAAACCAAATATGTGTCTCTTATTTCTTACTTTTGTTTCCAGGGTTTATTACCTTACAGGAGGGCTGGGGTTTAGGGCCAGAATAAAACAAATATACAATTTCTGAGTTAAATTTATTTAAAAACATGTTTACCTCAGAATATAGAAAGTCAACAGGGGTGCTTGGGAATGGGGTTTGTTCCTCAGTTTTCTGTGGTTTGATCATCTCACAGCCATGAAGAGGAGGCCATCTAAGGCAAGCCAGCGGCTAGAGGGGGCAGGAAAGTAAGGGCTTCCACTCAGTCTCTTTCTTTCTTTCTTTCTTTCTTTCTTTCTTTCTTTCTTTCTTTCTTTCTTTCTTTCTTTCTTTCTTTCTTTCTTTCTTTCTTTCCTTCCTTCCTTCCTTCCTTCCTTCCTTCCTTCCTTCCTTCCTTCCTTCCTTCCTTCTTTCTTCCCTCCCTCCCTCCCTCCCTCCCCTCTCTTTCCTTTCTTTCTTTCTTTCTCTTTTTTCTTCTTTCTTTCTTTCTTTCTTTCTGCTTTCTTTCTTTCTTTCTTTCTTTCTTTCTTTCTTTCTTTCCTTCCTTCCTTCCTTCCTTCCTTCTTCCTTCTTCCTTCCTTCCTTCTTTCTTCCCTCCCTCCTCCCTCCCCCTCCCCCTCCCTCCCCCTCCCTTCCCTCCCTCCTTTCCTTCTTTCTTTCTTTCTTTCTTTCCTTCTTTCTTTCTTTTCTTTCTTTCTTCTTTCTTCTTTCTTTCTTCTTTCTTTCTTTCTTTTTTCTTTCTTTTCTCCCTTCTTCCTTCCCTTCCCTTCCCTTCCCTTCCCCTTCCCTTCCCTTCCCTTCCCTTCCCTTCCCTTCCCCTTCCCTTCCCTTTCCCTTCCTTCCCTTCCCTTCCCTTCCCTTCCCTTCCCTTTCCTTTCCTTTCCTTTCCTTTTCCAAAAAATATGTTTCTATTGATTTTTTAGGGAGAGAGATAGAAACATCTATATGAGAAAGAAACATCAATTGTTTGCCTCCTACATGCCCCCTACTGGGAATTGAGCCCACAACCTGGGCATGTGCCCTGACCAGAAATCCAACTGGGACCTCTCAGTCCATGGGACGATGCTCAATCCACTGAGCCACACCAGCCGGGCTCAGACTCGTTTTCTATTGGCCTGGTGGTCAGTGTGATATTTGGCTCAAGTGGGTGATTGAAAGCAGATAATTATTTTTCAGCCTTCTCTTACAGGGGGATGCATACAGAAGATGGCTTATTTGTAGTTATTTCTAAATAGTAACTCTTCCCAGCTCTTTGGCTCCCTGTATGAACTTGGTAGATTGCACAGGTTTTCCTTTGGACACAATGTTTTCTATTTATTTGTCTTTCTGGATAATTGGACTGTTATGTACCCGAAGGCTCTGTGTCATCTGGGAGTATTCTAAGATTGCTGTTACTTTTAATATTTGATGGCTCTGGGATGTGAAGCTGTTGGTGCGGGGAGAGCAACTTGGACTCGTAGATGTTTGAACTGTGCTTTTAAATTTCTCTTTTAAAAGTTTCAGATTGAATAATTATTCAATTGAATAATTTTACCCTCTAAATGATCAGTTTACCTCTTCAAATTTTAAATAAGTATGTGTGTATATAGTGGGGGTAGGACAGTTTATAAAACATTTTTAATGAAATAGTTTCCCCTTAATATGTGCTACCATTGGGTGTTATTCAAGCTTCAAGTGAAAAGTCAGGAAAAAAGTTTGTGGGTTATTTTTGATACTTCTATTTCAACTTTAATTTTCTCTTCCCATGAAAATTCCCCAGTCAAGGCCAATGTGTCAAGAAAATCTGGTGAGGGATACAGGTTGGATGGTTCCAGTGGACCCATAAGTTTTTCTATATTTAACTGGTTATCTGCTTTGATTTTGTATCACTAATGTAATTCTTTTGATGTAGTTATGAAATTTTGTTTGTTTACAAGTAATTAAAATGCTTGTACTAGACTAAAACAAATTCACAATTTCTGAGTTTAAATTTATTTAAAAACATTTTTACCTCAGAATATAGAAAATCAGCAAGGGGTGCTTGGGAATGGGGTTTGTTCCTCAGTTTTCTGTGGTCTGATCATCTCACAACCATGAAGAGGAGGCCATCTAAGGCAAGCCAGTGACTTAGACCCCAGGGTCATTTTTCATCTGTGTCCAGTGACTTTTAGAGAAATATGATTTTGCCAAATTCTTACGAAGTTCAGTCAGGTAAATGATAAAACAACAACAAAACACTTAAAAATCCAAACTCACTAGTTTATTTGTTTCTATCTTATTTTATTCCATTAAAAGTTTTAGACAGCATGTAGGGCTCTCAACACACTTTTAAGGTAAGAAGTGTTTATTACGCCTTTGTTTCTATCTGTCTCTCACTGGCTGGCTCCTCCATTCCAGACACCCCATCTGCCCTTGACCACCCAGCAGCCCATGTCCTCTAAGTCTGACCATCATCCCCCATCTGTCAGGCCTCATGCATCAGCCTCAGTCCCCAACCACGAGGCTTCCACCTCAGGCTCCCTCCTTGGCCCCCATTAGCTCCTACCCATCAGGACTGATATCTTCCTAGAGAAAAGGGGCTGAGTGGTGGAGGGTGAGAGTTTGATGGCAATGAGACCTTAGGCACCCACTCCCACTTGGAGAATTTTCTTTTCTTTTTTCTTTTCTACTAAGAGCAAAGACATTTTGAAGACTCTATGAGACTGTCAACCACTGACATTGTTGGTTCACAACCTCAGAAGTTCCCCGCGTTAAATATAAAACTGGCCCCTGTACCCAGAGGGCAAACAGAGCAGGAAGAAAGAGGTAAGCCACTCCAGATTGGTACATGGCAAGTCAAAAAGTAAGGGGACTTTGCATATGAGGTCACCAGACCTCACAGTGACTAATTTCAATAGTAGTTTTTGTGCAGTAAAGCTTAGAAAACCCTAGCACATTTCATACATTTGAAGGAAGAGAAGTCAAAGGTGTTGGTGCCTTTAGCATCACCCACCCCTGATTCAAGATCAGTGTGGGCATTTATTGCTTCTCATGTTTACTGTCTGAGGAATCACTCATGCCCTCATGGATCCAATTCAATGCAGGGAAATAGTACACTCATTTGTGTAGTATTTAAGCAAATCTCTGGAGAGAGTGGGTATTTTAGCTCTGAGTGGAGAGAAGAAATAGGAGCCAGTACTAGGAAGAAAATCTCAGTTCTTCAATCATCAGCCTTATCTATCTGAAATGGTGAAAAGAAAAAAAAAAAAAAAAAGAGAGAGAGAGAAAAAGAAATTACATAAGCTTATTCCACAGTCTACCCTTGAAATGCAATTTTCATGACTTAGACTGTCCCATGCTCTGATGTGTCCTCTACAAATACCAGGATATGTCAGTAATTCAATCAGAAAATGACACATTGATCCAAATGCTTTATATAACTATCCTCTAACCCATCATTAACAGAGATAGAGAATACTCCCCAACCCATGATTTAAATATTTTTCTAAATGGAAATGACTTTTCTGTCACACATGAGCAATTGTTTTAATCATTTTTCTCAAGCATACACAATGCTAAAGCCAGTGTGTTTGGGAGGTAAAAAAATGAGGTGGTGTTATTAATATCTCACCCTCCTTTCCCACCACGCATTTCTTGTTATCCTCCCCTTTTCCTATTTGCTTCACCCTATGACTCCAAAATGATTTAAGGGCCTTTTGATCTACTTCTAGATTTATTTTCTTACTCTTAAATTATTACTATTAATGCTGCCACTAATGGAATTGTAGAGCCTTGACCCCCAAGGACCACAACCAGACACACTGGGTCAGGGGATGCATCCTTAGCCACACTCAGAGGGTCAACACACAGAACAGGTCAGCTGGACAGACCTGCAATGCTGGTCAGTCCTGCAGGAAAGGCAGGGGGTGCTGGGAACATGGTAGGTAACTTGCATGCCCAAATCCCACAGATACCTGAAGCAGAGAGATAGATGATCATGGGGTAAAGGAACCAATGATTTTTTAGCATAAACTGTGAACCAGTGCCTTAGATGAGGTTCCCTAGAAGCAGACCTTGAGATGAGGATTTAGGTACAGTGATTTGTGGAAGAATGACTCCCAGGGAAAACAGAAAGGGTGAGAGGAGCAGCAGGCCAGGTCAACAAGGGGGCAGCCCTGCAGTGCTGGTTTCTGCCTAGTCCCATGGGGCCTCAGAGTGCCGTAAGTTACTTGGCAGAGGCCTCCTGGCTCCAGTCAAGGACGAGCTTCTTCTAGCCCATTGTTCATTGATTAAGGGTTACCGTGGGAAACATCAGCTCCAGGCAGTTCTGGCCCTCTCTGCATATGAGCAAAGCTGACTTGAATTTGCTGTGGGTGCTGAGGGTGCTTGACAACACTAAAAGGGCATTCAAGGGCACTTGTGGGGAGCACTGACGTTATCTGCTATAGCCCAGCTGTGCACAAGGTACTTTTCACTTCATTTAATCTTCCCAGAAACCTGTGAGCATGCATGAGCCCCTACCATAACCTTCGTGGGACATGTGAAGGCTAATCTGGTCTCACGTTTCCTCCTAGATCAGCTTCCATGGGCCCTTTTGTGATGTGACAGCTGCTGTGAGGAACTGCAGTGGGGCCAGGGTGACATCCAGTGGTGAGCTTGGAATCTGACAGAGAGACATTTCTAAACTTGAGCCAGGAACCCAGTGTGTGAGCATCCTGTGTAGCACTTGGAGGCATTAATATCAGGGCCGCCTCCTGGGATGGACGCTATGTACTACACCCCTCCCCTCCAACACATGCAGCCTTAAAATCTGCTTGTCAAATGGCATAGAGAGGGCTATTAATATGCCTTTATCACTGACCTTAAAATAAATTCAACTGATTTGGAAACTTACACATTAGGGAAAAGCTGACATTTCACTTTCACATCTGTTTTGCATGTTTGCCTTGTATATAGAGCCCTGCAGAATTTATAGATTGTTTTATTCGATTTAATCCATTTACAG